ACTTTCTAGTCATATTTGACTAATTGTAGCGAAAAAGCAGTCACTAATAATTATAATTAGTCAAATTATATCGAATGGAATAGAAAAATTGGTAGATTTAAATTTAAAAAAGTTTTGACCCAGACAGGATTTGAACCCGGGTTTGTCGCTTGTCAAGCGGATGTCTAACCGCTGTGCCACTGCTACTTTCATAAAAATCAGTTATACCTATTTGTCTATAAATATTGTTAATAATATTTTAAACTTGAATATCTTTTTTGTGTTGATATTTTGAGCTAAACTGTTTGCATCTTTGTTTGTTTTTATAGGCCATTTAACTATAACAATAATTTGTTGTTGGCCGCAAGAATTAAAAAGCGATTAAAGAAATTAGTTACTATTTACTCTTACAAACAGTCAAGATGCGCACCACTTAATGTGCTACATAGCTTTTTTGTTTCTTGAACTATTTTATTTTGGTCTATGTTGTCTGCTAGCCTCATCCTTTGGCAATTCATGCTATAGATATGAAGCTCACGGTTCTTCAAGTAAATTTTCTACAGGGTGATATGTTAAACGGTGAAAAATTTTAATAACTTTATCCAAGCCCCGTTTCTAACAAAATAATTTTTTTCTCGTTTTTACTTTAAAATAATGAAGTATTATGTCTTACCTTGTAGCGTTTTTCAAATTTTTCGAATTGGAATCTTAGCAACGAAAATATGATTTTTTTTAAAGAGTACATTTAAGTCTTTTTTGTAGGCAATACACTCAGTCTTTTTAGGAACAAGAAGATAAGATGGTGAAATAATGTTCCTTAAATAATTCTGAACAATCGAAAAGCAACAAACTTTTTTATTATTATTTTTAGACGGCCTAAGCAAAGACCACTTTTTCAAAATAACATTTTGGTGAAAATTTGAGAAAACTAAACCTAAACCGATATTTACGTTCGTGACATGTTTTATTCATAATTTTGACCTCCTGATTGTGATTCAGTTATCAAATTTAAGTTTTATATAAAACCAAAATCACCAAGAATCAAGATTCGAAAACAATTCCCGGCTGTTAAATGTCGTCATAACGATTGCTGGTTTTTACTATTTTTTTTACTGTGTTTTGCATCTTTAGTACGATATTATCATGTCGCTGAATAATCAAATCGAGGATCAAATGAAAATTAGTTCTTGAAAACATTTAAAACGCATTATGAGGGATATTCTTAATTTTTTTAGTTTGCTTGTGTTTTTCAAATTTTTTCAGAAGTTTTTTTGCATAAGTTATACCTACCTACCTACATACCTACCCCTATCTTACCCAGGTTACTTCCATTCTTCCTTTAAATGATTAAAATACCAATGCTAGACTTGGCTGCAGCTAGGGGAATTAACATCTCCAAATCAACGGTTCGCATAAGATTGCAAGAAACGGGAGGCAAGGGTGGCTTTTGGAGGTGGAGGAGTGAGTGTTTGAGGTGGAATGACGATGAATGGAAAGAGTGAATGCTGAGAGATATATAGATTTGGTTGTTAGTGATATCGTGGTCCCTTATGCTTAAAATGTTGCCAATTATTGGTGTTGGTGGACGACAATGCAATATCGTAAATGAGTATAATAAATTGGCCACCTTTGTCTCCGGATATGAATTCTATTGAGCATGTGTGGAGCAGGATGAAACTCAAGATGAAAAAGAGGGAAGGACGCATGGAAAATTTGTATGAAATGCTATTCAGGAAGAATGGGATACCCCAAGAATTTATAAAGAACTTGGTCGAGGCCCAGGAGGGTTAACGAATTGATATTGTTATTATTATATTATTTTTGTTATTGTTTGTTACATTTTTTCGCATACATTTTTCCAAAATGAACAAACATTTTTTATTTAACTTTATTACCAATTAGGTAGGTACTTATCAGTGATAAGTTATCACTAGTGCGCAATGTAAATGTAACTTATGTAACATTATCCTAACCACTCAAACAAATTGCAGTAATTTCGCCCAAAAAATGAATCCCCAAATGGCATTTTAATCATAAATATGCAAGAAACACGTCAGCAATCGGATTTTATTAAGACATTTAACAGCCGGGAATTGTTTTCGAATTTTGATTCTTGGTGATTTTGGTTTTATCTGAAACTTAATTTTGACAACTGAATCACAATCAGGAGGTCAAAATTATAAAGAAAATATGTCACGTAAATATTGGTTCAGGTTTAGTTTTCGCAAATTTTCACCAAAATGTCATTTTGAAAAAGTGGTCTTTGCTTAGGCCCCTTTGAAAATAATGGAAGTTTGTTGTTTGTCGCTTGTTCAGAATTATTCAAGGAACAATCTTTTACCATTTTATCTTCTTGTTCTTAAAAAAACTAAGTGTATTGCCTACCAAAAACCCTTAAATGTACTCTTTTGAAAAAAAATCATATTTTCGTTGCTAAGATTCCAATTCGAAAAATTTGAAAACCTTTTCAAGGGAAGACATAATACTTCATTATTTCAAAGTAAAAACGAGAACAAATATTTCTTTTTTCAAACGGGGCTTGGATGAAGTTATTGAAATTTTTCACCGTTTTACATATCACCCTGTACGAAATTTACTTGAAGAACCGTGAGCTTCATATCTATAGCATGAGGATGGGGCTAGTAGACATTACAGACCAAATTAAAATCGTTTAAGAAACAAAAAAGTTATGTCATTTTGAAAAAGGATGAACTTTTTGGTCGCGACACATTGAGTGGTGCGCAGTTTATTTAAAGAGTAAAAATAACTATTTAAAAGTGAAAACGACTATTTTTATTAGTAATCAATGCTGGCACTAATACAAATAGTAGAATTTTGACTACCTATTTCATTTTAGCAAACGCCAGTTTTTTATTTGTTTTTTTTTGTTAATAAAATTTTCACTTGTTGGACAAACTAATTTGGCAATCCCATTTATAAAATGAGTTAGAAATACCCCAGGATAGTTAAAACTTTTAGTGCAATAATCCAGATATAGTTTGCGTGCTTACAGCAAATTCATACCAATTAACGTTAATATAAATTTTAATGAATTAACATATATTAAGATATTTTATTTTAACGCTTTGTTCTTTTAATAGAACAATGTTACGAAATAACTGTAGTTTTGCATGACTCGAGAAAATGTTATGCTATAGATTTTTTATTTTTCATAATATTTTGTTTTACCAATTCCTAAGATAAACATTTGTAGTGTTCTAGGGAATTGGGTTTCAAAAAGTAGAAGCCGGGGCACAATGCTTCGGCATAATTCAAAGGGGGCATTTTAATATTTGGTCCTGTCGGGTTTTAAAACTCAGCACGGAAAGGAGAACGGACTGACTTCAAAGCAGTGTCGATAAATTTGTGCAGAAATTCAAGCATTAGTTCGCTCTAAGAAATTACTAAACTCGTTATGTATTTATTAAGACGAGCAAATGGAATTTGGCACGCGTTACAAAATAATAAATAAAATATCGAACATAATATATTTTATCTATTTTGCGTTCAAAATGACTTTATTATAACACCGCTTTCGGTGCTGTAATGAGATACTTTATCCCACCCAAAATTTTGATTATATAGGTTGGCTATACTTTAAACAGCATAATATTTTGCATATTGGTTATAATATTTTTATGATTTTTCTAGTATTTACGAGACTTTTCTGGCAATAGATTTTGTTTAACACCAAAGAAAATCCTTTTTTCTTCTTTAACATTAACAGCCGCCTATTGCAAATAAGTAAATTAAGGACGGCATGGCGAATCAATTTTGACATTAACTGTCAAAACAATGACTGTGATACCAACTATCTAAAGTAAAATTCGACCAAATTAAATTTAAGGGATAAAATTAATTTTTTTATAGAATTTTTTTAAAATAGATAAAATAGCATAAATAACACATGTCAAAAGACCTTTTGTCGCACTCGTCCTTAAAATGTCCGCGTGCGACAAAATGACGTCTTATGACATTAGTTCTTTAATATAATATTGATTTGTATTAATTTCGTAAGCGAGTTCGAGAAAGTAAGTACTAACAATATACTTGAAACTTTGGTGATATGTTTGGCAACACTCGATTTCTCTGTCCTACCAAATCTAGCATGGGCTAAGTGCTCTGTGAACCTTACTTGAATGGATCGTTTAGTTTATCCAACATATTTCTTATCACAATCTTGGCAGTTTATTTCGTAGATCCCTGACCACTCCTTTCGAACCCCAGTACACTCGAGGTCTGGAAGGGATTTTTCAAAATTGCTTTTAGTTCAAGCAGCAACACACTTCAGACCCTTTTAGGCAACCCCAAAGATAAGATTCCTAATATTGAAAAGTCGGGAATCTACGAAATAAACTGTCAAGATTGTGACAAGAAATATGTTGGACAAACTAAACGATCTATCCAAGTAAAGTCAAAGAGCACTTGGCACATGCTAGATTTGGTAGGACAGAGAAATCGAGTGTTGCCAGACATATACTTGATGATGGTCATAGAACAGAATTTGACAACCTTAAACCTATTAAGGAAGTTAGGGAACCAAGTCTGCTAGATAGTTTGTATAAATTAGTTTGCTAATTTCTCTTTACGTGTTCACTGAAGCGGTTACGGTCCACGGTTTAGTAAACTGTGACCGTTTACGGTTCAGTCAACCTTAGCTTATAATTGGTGTAAATATGGTAGATTTAGTTACACTTCGCTTCTGAAGATGTCAACATCGTTGGCAAAAAGCACTTTGTGTTTTGTTTTGGTGTTGGGTAATATTTCTAATATTTGTATATGTAGTTTATTGGTAATAAAAATATATTGTTGAAATATGTATATTAACCCAAAAAATTAAATAATAAAAAAACAATGTTAAAAAATATATATATTTACGACAAAAAACATGCTTACAACATGCTAACAGGCAGTTTTCTATAATTCGCACAGTGGACGGGAAATTAATTTTGCACGCATTCGCGCGAAAGAAGAATTTCCCCCCCACCACGAACGACAATTTTTCTCGACATCGCTCTAACCTGTTGCGTATCCGGGTTCGGAGCTAGAGTCGTCGTCGGAAAAGGAGAGCTGCTGCTGCTGCTGGTGATGGTACTCGACGTAAGCGTGATGATGGTGGTGAAAGTGATGGGGCACCGCGTATTCTACCGCCGTGTGCCGGCTGCCCACCCTGGTGAGCGTGTTGCCCGCCGACAGCGTCCCCCCCTGCGTGCGGCTACCGTGAGCAGCGCATATTATGCCTGCAACGGGCCGGGGAGCATCGATTAAGCGTGAAATGTGGCAACGATGACACGTACAGGTTTTTCGCAATAGTTTCCATACCAAGACTACATACCGTATTTTCATTTGACGTATATACTCTCGAGTGAACACACAAAAACCGGTATGCTGGTTATGAAACGAAAACTCGTCGAGTCCGCGCATGTGAAATCACGTGCGAACAAGATCCATCTGTTACAAACAGTTTTACAACGATTTCTTTTAAGTTTTTTTTCGAAATTATTGTGTTTTTCAAAGCATAAGCCACGCACGATGGTTTTGCAACGTTTTTAGTAAAGTTTCTACTGCATTTATTAAACAGCAATTACTATTTACAAGGTATTTATAAGCCAGGAACAGGTGTTTTATACCAGGTTGTTTATTAAGTTTGTGTTATATTTGTTGGACTTAATATTTATTTAAAATATGCCGGGCTGTGCTGTAGCGGACAGCAGAAATATAAACAGGAACTCTAACACCCAACCTAACATTAAATATTTTCAATTTACAAAAAATAAAGACTGGCAACACAGTGGATGAATGCATGCAAGAGAAAGGATAAAATGAAAATAAAAAACGGTAAGTAAAGGCAATTTTTGGTATGCCCATTTTTCTGTTAGGTACTTATAGTAACTTTTCACCCTAACCACATATTTTTTCACAGCTTGCCAATAATAAAAATTAAAACACAATTGTATCAAAAACCGGCTTTAAAAGTGTCACAAATAAAAAAGGGAGTTTTGAGATTTTTTTTTACTTTTGACACTTCAAAGCGGGCGTGCCTTATTACATGTATAAATGCATTTTTATAATTTTGCTACCTTTCACATTAACAAAATGTAAAATTCGGTCCAGCGTAAGTTAACTTAATTCAATTAAATAAAAAATGTTTTGAAAAATATTAATAGGAAGGTAGGAAATTAATTGTACCTTAAAATATGTTACATTAGTATTAAAAGCGCTCGCTGCCAATTTAATTTTCTATTAACATTTGTTACACTTAATAATTACACCCAGGCCGTCCCTATATTTATAAATTTTCGAATATAACGTGAATTTGCAGTGCAAATAACATTCCAACCCAGTTACCCGCCAGCTTTTGGTTCGCACATGACGTCACACGGTGCGAGAGAGATAGCTATAACATGCGCATCAGCATACCGGTTTTTGTGTATTTAATTTAACATAAATTAATTTCTTTAGTGGGCAATTCTTTAAATATCCGGAACGTTATATTCCGTCAATTAGAACAATAACAAACGTTATCCAAAGGTTTAAAACAAATGGTTGTATTTAATTAATTAATTTATTTATTTACATTAATTTTAATTAATGTTTAAACGTTTTTATAAGAAAGCACTTTTAGTTAAATGCAAAACAAATAATGATTTTACACCTTTAATTAATAATTTACTGTTAAAAGTAATTACGTTACATTTTAAGTATCTGAATCATTTTTAAAAGTAAATTAACTTAATAATGCGTAATTCGTATTAATAATCCAGAGCAAGCTTCGACTATAACCCAACGCCGGTGAAGGGTCTACTGCTGAATTACGAAAACCGTCTCTAGGCGACTTCCACTCTTAAAAAACCGAATGCGGCATGTCTACATGTAAAATGAAAGTACGGTATAGAAACAAAATTCATAGGAAGAAACAAATTCATAAAACTACGCGACTACAATTTTTAGTAATTATAACAAAAAAACACAATCCAAAACTTCGACCACACTTCAAAAAATTACCTGCCAGCGTTCCCTGAGGCCCCAAATCCAACGAGGGCCTTCTACTCAACTGCGCGTGCACATCCTCAAAATCCTGCACCACTATGCTGCCAGCGCCCTGGGCGCTGTACATCATCTGAGCGGGGGCGGGCGCGTGCCGCTCCTCCTGCACGGGCGCCGCCACCACCGCCGCCGCCGCCACCGCCACGCTCTGCTGACTTTGACTCTGGTGATTCTGGTTGCTACTCGAATGGTGGTGAGATGCAGCGCCACCTGCATGCGAGCTGCCAGAGTTGCTTTGAGTGTTTCTTCTGGGGCTTCTGCCCCTGTCGGAGACGGTGGTGGCGCTCCAATAACCCCAAGCCATAATGGAGTTTTTTTAAGTTAGACCGAAGTTGGTAACTGCTTTTTCGAGGTTGTTTTAGCGTTTCTCAGCGTTGAGTGAGCTCATTTTATATTTCATGAAAAAAGTTTTCTTCTAGGTTCATAATATTATGTGTAAAGATTTTATTTACTGAAAGAAAACGTTAATTTTATGTTGGAAAAGTTAATACATTTTATTAAAGGGGAACAGGTATTTATTTTGACGACTCAATTGAAACAAAATTATAAAATACAATTAAATTTCCTCTGAAAGCCCCTTCCAGAGCTGAGACTCCCATCTGACAGCCCCTACTGTCAACATCGCCATCTACCGATACTCACTGATACTAATAATAGGTTTTTACCTAAACAAACACCCTACTTTAGATATTTATCCACAGAATACTAATTCTAAGAAAATTACCATCTGAAGGTATTTGGAAATTCAAAATGGAGGCTGAACGTGTTTAAGAAGTAGCATTATGAAATGTTGATGTTTATAGAAAACAAGTTGCAAATAATGCATTATTTTTTTAATGCATTAAGGTTTCAGTGCACATTATTAAAATAATGAGTAATATGTTTAATTTTTTTTATGCACTACATCTTTTTGAATGAAAATTAATTTAATTACTCATTACTTTTTTCCAATTATTAATGTGTTCTTTTTACATTACTCATTTTTAATTTGTAATGAGTATTTTGAAATTTTCAATTAGGTACAATTTTTTTATGTTAATGAGTACTCACTTTACATTACTCGTTTTTTTTATTTTTAATGAGAAATGAATTACTATAGAATTACTCATTTTTATTGGGCAAGGAAGATATTCTTAATGCATGACACAATTTTTCAATTTTTGTTTTGAATTTTTTTTACCAGTAACGTTCAAAATTAATTATTCGTTCATACCATCGCGGATTCAATACTTTTTTAAGTTTAGGTCGCCTTCTCACCTATTTATCATAATCCCACTATCAACCCCGGCTTAAAATTTCTTCAGTGAGTAGAAGTTTAACGTAAAAAATTTGCAATGAAATTGGAGAATACAAACAGTTTGAAAATTAAAATTTTAAAACTCAAAATTCCCATGCAAATATGATTTGTATAATTTTGATACACGAAAATTTTAAGAAATAAAAATTTCAATTCGGACCATTTTTTGAACCATCTTTTAAACAAGTAATCAAAAAAATATGAAACTTTACCAGAAAGGAATTTTTAATGGGTACTTAAAAATATCGAAAAATAAAAGAAATCGAAAATCAACATTTTTCAAACTGTCAGACTTGGTGTAAAAAGCCCCATATAAAAAATCACCCCATCAACCCTACCCCTGATCATTTTTCACTGATGTAATGGGTAGTCTTTCGTTACATATTTTTTTAATGTGTAATGTACTGTTTCTCATTACTCATTTTTATTGAGTAATGTATTTTTCGACATTACTTATTAATTTTTTAATGTGTAATAAAAATGTTTATCATTACAAATATTTTTTAATGATTAATTACCATTAAAAAAAATGACGATTGCATTATTTTTTATATTAACATTTTTGTAACTCTGATTGAAAACACGTCCCAAGGCCAGTGACAGCTCTATAATTGGTGGATATGGCCGATTTGGAAATAGCATTACAAAAATTATTTAATGATATAATATTATTGTGACATCACATAAGTTTTCTGCTTCAAATTATTTTTTGTTGACGAAATAACGAAATCCAAGCCTGCCTGCTCGAAATTTTAAGATGCAGCGCTAACTGCGACTAGCCTCCACCGTATACCGTAAAATTGCTTTTTGAGTAGCAACGGAATCTTCGGACGCGTAGCCAGGAGGCTGTAACGTAGTTCACCATATAAATTCCGATTATTTAATTGTAATAATAATTATGATTGGAAATCCACTTTTTGCCCCCCCCCTGACGAGCTGCCACTGCGACGTGATCGCATATTTAAGTAAATGAAACAAAAATTCCATTATTGGGTTGAGTTTTACAACCAACCGTAAATGACTCTTTCCTTTACACCGCTAGCTTTTACGGTTTTATTTTCCTAGCGGCAAATATGATGAGTAAGTACGAAAGAAAATAAAAAAAAAATTATAAAGTGCACCCAATTACTTTTAAAATGAATGGGTGTAATTAGAAGAAAAGTGTAAAGATAATCTGGTGTTAATATAAGTTCAGAAAAAATATTAATTTTAAACCATTGAAATTACTTTAAAGGGTGTTTTTTTTAAATCCAATTTTAATGTAATTTTAAGTTTAAAAATAAGAAACCACTGAAGAATAATGTGAATAATATTCAAATCAAGATCAAATTATATCGTAAATAATAAGTTGTTTATACGTATATAAAAATATCTGTTCCCCTTAACCTAAAAACCGTAAAACATTGAAATTCACCTGCAAAAAAATCGAACGTATCTATCGAAAGCACTTCACTACCGCCGTTGGATCCTGAAGCCCGAAAAACAATGAAACACTTAAGCAATTTCACGCGTAGGCCGATACGGGTGGAGAACTGCAAAACACTACGTCGGGAACGCGTAAACAAAATTTTCCGGGGGACACCTATTTAACGGAATCAAAAAAGGAAAACTTCAAGCAAAGAGGTTAAGTTTGTCAGGTGCCTTCAGGTTCTCTGAAACTGCCCCAGAATAGCCGAGGACGATACGGCAGCAGTGGCGGATCGCGATGTTGCCAACTGTTTACCAACCCTAAAGAGTTGCTCTTCATGATCACGCTAATTATATTAGAAATAAGATATCAAAAATGTTCTTAAAAAAATGAATAGTTTTCTTAATTTTCAAAATCATATGTTATTATATATATAAAACATTAATTTCACCTCATATTGATTATTTTTCTACAGTTTTATATAAATAGATTAGCTCAAAATCAAACTCAAAAATTTCAAATTTTACAAAACAAATGTATGAGGCATATTTTAAAATATAACAACCTGTTAAAACAATGTTAGAAGTGTTAAACCTGTTAAGTGTTAAACAAAGAATATATTTTAGGACTATGGACTGTACAAGTATATACAATATGAAACATGGTAAAGTACCAAAATATATTTGTTATATTTTAAAATATGTTGACTCTATAAACCATTATCTAACAAGAAATAAAAATGATTTTTATGTGGAAACTTGTATTATGTTTAATAAATTATCAAATGAGACTAAAAACTGTGATAATTATAAAAATTTTAAGAAACTATTATTAATGTATGTAAAAAAAAACCGTGTAAACTATATTGTATTATACTTTTTTTGTAAGAAACTAATAGCCTTTGCTAAAATAAACGTTATTATTATTATTATTTAAAAATACCTGAGGTAGTTAACGTTATATTTTTTATGTTATGTTTGGAAAACTTGTTAAATGTTAAGTAGGTTTTAAAATTTATTAAATATTTTGAAAACAAAAGTTAATAAAACATTCGTCCTAATATTTTGGCAATTGTCCTGTTTTCTGAACATTTGTCCAGTAAAACCTAGAGACACTAATTTTGACAGTTCTTTTTATTGGAAATAATTCACAGTATTTATTTTGGTAAGGGAGTTTTTCGACAGCGTGGCAACATGGTAAAGTAAGGCCGGGCCGTCGCAGATCGATAAAAGCGGCCCCAAAAGGCAAAGGCGGCAACAGAGCCGGACTGTGCAAGTTTTTTATATAATAAACTTTCTCCTTGTAACACACAATTTAGTATTTTTCCTGATGGAAATAATTTAACAAAATTTATTATTGAAAATGATTTTTTTATACATATATCCGATTGCTATGAACTATCGTAGTGTGAATTAACCTTAATTGTATAGTTGTCACTGTCATTGTCAGTGTTCTGGTTTTAGGTTAAGTTTTCTGACATTCTTTATAGTTTGTCCCACCTCTACTCATTCTGCTAAAGCAGGCTTTTTTATTTAATTAACTAATTAAGGGGGTTTCAGATGGAAAAACGCCAAATGACTTTTTTAAATGTTGTGTTTCTGACACTGTAAGCCTTAAATGAGGCCTCAAAGTGGTAAGGAAAACCATTTTAGTCCTCTTTTGTAAAATATAAACTTTTTCTACTCTTATTGCATATTTTTGACATTATTTGGGTTTTTTCGTAAATAATGGTAACCAATATAACTGCCCTACCTAGCAACGTGAATAATGAACTCAATATTCACGTTGTTAGGCATCAGTGATTGGCTGATTTCAATATATTGAATAACAGTGAATATATTCACTGTTATTTAAACCAATCGGGTTTTAAATTGAAAAAAAGTAAGGTTATTTTTTATATATAGGAGGGGTGACTATAATGATTTTTAAAATCGGGAGAAAGTGAGGTTATAATACATTTTGTAAAATCTAAAATCAAACTTTAAAAGTGTATAACTTTGGTAATAATTGATGTAAAGATTTAAAATTTTTCACAAATGTAGTTTCTTATTTGATGTATAAAAGGAACTGAATATTTTAATTTTCTCCACTACCATTCAGCTTTTAAATAAGTAATGGATAATATTAATATCTCCATTAATATCTAGGTTAATAGGTTAGAATGCAATAACAGTTAATAGGTACTTCAGTTTATATTTTTTAACGTAAAATTAAATAGATAAACGTGCAATTACCTTAAATATTTAATTTAATTCACTTTAACTCTAAAAAATAAATTCCTATAGCTCCTTATCGCAAATAAAAACGACTAATGAAAAATCAATGAAGCAATGTCGTCCATTTGAGAGAGGTTCGTTTAATTTCATTTGCCCTGACCTCCTCCTTAACAAGGCAACATTCAATTACATTACTGCAAACGAGAAAAAATGAGGGAAATAAATAATCGTTAAGACTACCTTTCAGCAAAAAAATACAAGGTCTTGATGTCCTAGAGGCTCGACGAAAAGATCCTTAATGTGTTATATTAAACAGTCCCCTGGCTGCTGCATAAGATGACAGGGGACTGTTTAATTTTCCAATTTTTATTTATTATTTTATTTAACAAAAGCTACATACAAATCTCAAAAAACAAAGGATGTCGTTGTCACGTAAAAACGAAACAGCCTGAGGGTGAAAACCTAAAAGGATCATCGTGTCGTTTCAGCTATAAACGAGAAGATAAATTTTACATAAACATCGAGTTTCCTAGCTTCACTATTTTCTCGGTATTTTCTGCCCTTTGATCACCTTCAATACACATTCGCTTTCATATATGCATATAAGATAAGAGGCTTTCCGTTTTTATGTTTCATGATAAATATTAATTGCATATTTTATACACACAGTAGGGTGAGTCAAAAAAAGAATTTTAATTAAAATTTTACCGAAATCAAACAAGTTTTAGATGTCGCTAGCAGCGATTTTCGTCTATATACGAGGTTTACGAAAATCAAATGAAAAAAATTCTAAAAAAATTGAGAAAATGTTTTAATATTTTTTCCAAGTTTGTACCTAGTGTGAAGATTGTTTTTTTTAAACCCGGAAAAAAATTTAAAAAATAATTGATTGTTTAGGTAGGTACATACAGGGAGTCACAAAGACACCCTGTATAAACATTGTTATTAAACAATCAATCAAAAGCCATTTTTACCATAAAATACCAACAATTTAACTATTAAAAAAAGAATTTTAATTAAAATTTTGCCGAAATCAAACAAGTTTTAAATGTCGCTAGCAGCGATTTTCGTCTACATACGAGGTTTACGAAAATCAAATAAAAAAAAATTTAAAAAAATTGAGAAAATGTTTTAATATTTTTACCAAGTTTGTAGTGTGGACATTGTTTTTTTTACCAAGAAAAAATAAAAAAAATAATTGATTGTTTATACATATACAGGGAGTCACAAAATTATCTATTAGTTGGCCAACTAATTTTGAGACACTCTGTATAAACATTGTTATTAAACAATCAATCAAAAGCAATTTTTAACATAAAATACCAACAATTTAACTATTAAAAAAAGAATTTTAATTAAAATTTTACCGAAATCAAACAAGTTTTATATGTCGCTAGCAGCGATTTTCGTCTATATACGAGGTTTACGAAAATCAAATAAAAAACATTCTAAAAAAAATGAGAAAATGTTTTAATATTTTTTCCAAGTTTGTAGTGTGAACATTGTTTTTTTTACCAAGAAAAAAATAATTGATTGTTTATATACAGGGAGTCACAAAATTATCTATTAGTTGGCCGGCTAATTTTGAGATACCCTTTATAAACATTGTTATTAAACAATCAATCAAAAGCCATTTTTAACATAAAATACCAACAATTTAACTATTAAAATACATATTATTCTGTATAAAAAGCAATTTTACTTCTTAGCATGACAGTAGTAAAACTTAATAAACAGTTTATAAAATCTGAAATAATATTTACATAATAATATAACACCTAAGCCTATGGAATACAAATTGCCAACAAAACGTACCCATACAAAGTATGATTATATAATTTATTAAAATATATTCAAAAATATATATGAAGTCTTTAAAACGGTTTTAAAAAAATTATACAGGGTGTTTCCGAATTCCATCCAAAAGCATGGTTTTAAAGCGTAAAATATATAAAAAAAAGTTCCCAAAAAGAGTCCTTATTTTTTGAGTATTTATTTTCAGATTATCATTTAATTCCCAGTACCTGAATATTTTGAGATTTATATGGTACTTATGTATATACTGGATTTGCTTCTTATTTATCATATATACAGACTAAGTCTAAGTCTTATTATAATTAAATATTACTTATAAGTCGTTATTAACGAATAAATCATTTTTTCCACTGTTAATCTGTTTATTTGTACTTTTTGTGTCATTTGGGATATTTAAATCAATACATTTATTTTCACACAAGAATATTAACAGTTATAACAGTCTTCTTGTTTTAATAATATTTTTTTATTATTGAGCTCAATTTAATTTTAAAACTATTACTTATATTATAAAAACAAAAAACTATAAACTGAATTCTTCTATAAATTAAATATAAATATTTGTTTAAATGAAAACATAACCTAAAATAGTGTATCAATAACCCAAATTAAAAATAAATGTAAACAATACCTCCTTATCTCACTCTACATAAAGCAACATACCTAAATTATCCTTAATTGCATTTGTACACCAATTAAATATAATGGCATTGCATAAAAACCAATAAATCAATAAAAACCGTCACCATTCTCAATTAAAACCAAACATAAAGCTGACTTACCGTGTATGGTCAATTCAGAATCCCTATTGATCTCGTAGAGTCGTATGGCTTCATCAAGTTCCATTTGGGAGGAAATCGTGCAGGGGTCACCCTCTTCATCAACCCATTTCATTGTGAAAACTTGCTCCTGCGAGAACCGGCATATTTCCCTTATTTCGTGACACAATTGCTCCAAAGTGATGCACTGATCAATGTAGGTTATCAAAACCTCCCCATTATACGCTATTTTAGCTCTTATTTCGTTTGGATTAATATCCGTTAGTTGTGTAGGCATTTTAATTAATTAATTCGACACCTACAACCGATTACCACCTAAAACAAAGCCCATTTTAATCGCATTCATGTAGGATTAGTCATTTTTAATTCATAGGTTCAACAACTTATAATCCAATCAACCTTACCTCACTTATATGTACTGATTTTGTAATTGTTATTGTTGAGATTCATGTAAAACTAACGAT